TCATTTCCACTTTATTATCGCTTTCAGGCCCACGTGTGATAATGTCCTTAGTCATGCTCAAAATGGAGGACGTTATGGAATTCCTCCCAGACACAAGGTTGAAATGGAGGGCATGTCTGGGAAAAGGAGGACCTCTGGTCACTCTGAGGCTGGCTCTTTATTGGTTGCTGTGCACCTAGGCCACAACCAGACCGCACAGGTATGCTAGCTGATGTTGCAGCATTGTCTTGTCCTGAGAACTGGGGCAGTGATGGGATGAGTAGAGAAAGAAGAAATGGGGGCTTGGGATGGGTCACACCATACAGTGATCCCACCATATTCACTGGAGTTAGGGATACTGGATCCCCCGTAAAAGTGGAAAAACTGCAAATTTAAAAAAAACAACCAACACCACTATATTTTTAACCTCAGAGATCATCTCTGTAGGTATCTCAAGGTCCTCCGGCACAATTCTTTGGTCAAGGTCAGCCAGAAGTTGACCATACAATTGCAGTGAAGGAATACCTAGAGAAGTGTTCTCTCTCTAGGAATCTCTAGGTCAGGGGTAGGCAACCTTTCCCCTTTAAGGGCCGAGGGACTTCAGCTCCCAGAAGCCTCAGCCATGTTGGCCAATAGTCCCATGTTGGCCAATAGCTCCTGGGATTCTGGGAGCTGAAGTCCCTTGGCCCTTAAAGGGGAAAGGTTGCCTACTCCTGCTCTAGGTCCTCCAGCACAACATGTGGTGGACGCTGACCATAGAGTAGTGCTGGAGGACCTAGAAATCCAAAGAATCGTGGAGCTGAAAGAGACCACAAGGGCCATCCAGTCCAAACCCCTGCCATGCAGGAACTCACTATCAAAACATCCCTGATAGATGGTCATCTAGCCTCTGTTTATTTCCTAGAGAAAACATATTAATAAAATCTGTGAATAATCAAATCTGCAAAAGTCAAATCCGCAAATGCGGAGGGTTGACTCAATGCTATGATTATGAGTTCCTGCATGGCAGGGGGGTTGGACTGGATGGCCCTTGTGGTACCTTCCAACTCTATAATTCTATGACTGTACTTCATGATTCAGTAAGCTTTTCTGCTCTTCTCATTTCCCAGGCAGAGGTGGCTGCTCCAAGCACCTTCTTCGCCTTTCTCTTCACCTCCATGACTGAAAAGGTTTGGGAAGCATCAGAGGTGGATCAGGACCTCCAAGTCCCATACCCCCCTTGAGCAATTCTTGTCCCCCACCCCCCAATTTCAGAACCACTGCTTCAAAGCAAGCCCCATGTAAAGCACAGTGCAGTAATCCAAATGGAAGATAGCTATGGTATATGGCCAGGTGTGATGTCTTGTGATGGGCACAGTTGGCATACAAATCGTAACTGTGCAAATATGCCTCTGCTCAGACCTGAGATTCATATAAAAAAGTAAATTACAATTCTAAGATGCACTGAGAAGAGGAAATTCTCCCAAAAGCTTCTGTGGACACTGTGTTCATGAAAACTTATGCTAGAAATCTCTTCTTCCTAGTTAAGTCTCATAGGTGTTACTGGGTCCCTTTGTGTGTGTGTGTGTGTGTGTGTGTGTGTGTTTTGTAAAAACCATATACAGTACAGTATGTGACACTGTTTGACTTTGCCATCTAGTGGTGTGAAAGGAAACCTATTTGCCTTTCTGCAAAAGAAGCTATTTTCCTGTCTGCTGCTTGGATTTTCTCAACTAGACAATATGGGAATTTTGACTATTCTGGAATTCTGACATTGGTGCCTTATCTTATAAAAGATACTAGGGTGATTCTAAATAAAATCCTAGAAAATCAGACCTGTGAAGATTTCAGACATTTACTTTTGTACTTATGAATATTACATAAAAGCTAGAAATGCTCCAAGCTATGGATACAAACTGTTGATGTTGAAATTATTGTGCGGAGCTTTCAATGAGGATGATATATACAGTAAATTTTATACTGTTTTTTTCATGATTGTAACTAGACAGTAGGACCTGTGAAGACATACAGTTTACATAGATGAGTGAGGTTTGTATCTCTTCTAGTTCTGAGTGACATGTAGCAGCTACTGTACAGTCTTAAGAAAAGGGGAAGCATTTATTGGCTCAGTTTGTTCTAGAATTCATTTTGACATTATAGTCTTTTGCACACATCTTTTTCCAGTGTGGTGTGTCTCACATAGGGTTGTAAAAGTGAAAATTGGAACATGCTCATGTACCTTTAGCAGTTGTGTAGAAGAGGGAATTTCATCAAGTGTTGTTTGTTACAAGGCCCCATGACAAGCAACATCTTCTGAAATTCCCTTTTCTCCACAACTGTTAAAGGCACAAGAGTCCTCTCCAGTTTTCCATCTGACAACCCTGCATGATGTCCATCATTTTAACATGTTCTAATTCCTAGTCCAAGTAGAGCACATAAATCTTACTGGTATGGCTGCTTTTGAATCAAATTAGTCAACAGATTTAAATCCTGAGTGCCCCATATTAGTTGGGCAGCAGACATCCATGATCTTAAATACAATTACATACAAAAATCTCCACAAATACATGCATGGATTTGCAATTACTATTTTTTTAAAGTGTCTTACCTGATCGCTTCCATTGCCCAAAATCCACTAAAGGAAATAGAAGCTGGTGAAGATATTGGACTTCTGCTGAGTTAAGAAATTAAGCGGTTTTTCTTTTAAAAACCATGCCAACTTCTCATAGAAAAAAAAAAGACGTAGGAGTACAAGCAGCAGGATCATTTATAGAAATAATATTTTATTTTCTTTCTTGCTGAGCATTATTTTGACCTACTAGATCAGCTACAATGCTGTTCTAGGCTGCATCAACAGACATTTACTGTTGAGATCATCAAAGATAATGGCATGAGTAGTCTGCTTCTAATTCTCAGCAGTTTAGGAAATGTATCAGGATAATAGAATGTGTGCAGCAAAAGGTAACAAAAATGGTGAAGGATCCTGAATCCCAATTGTACATGGAAAGATTGAAACAGTCAGGTTTGGGTATGGCTAGACTTAAGAATTGATATGATAGTCATTTTTCAAATATCTGAAGAGTTGTTACATGAATGGGGATTGTCTTATAATCCAAAATCTAGTCTTCAAATTACAAAAAACAAACTGATTTTCACAAAATATTAAGAATTTCTTGACACTATGTATAAGCTGTCCAACCGACAACATTAGAAGGAAGCAAATTCTTTATGAGAGGTTCCAAGGAGAGGCTGGATGGTGAACTATTCAGAGAAGCTGTAATAGCTTGTTGGACTGGTAAAGGTCTAGACTAGATTACCTTTGAGGTTATTTCTATTATTTATATTTACCACAGATCATCTTAAATTTTGTTAATGTTATTTGCCATCGTCAACTTTGGCTTATGGCAAATCTATGAATGAGAGATCTCCAAGAACCTCATTCATCAACTGTCTTGCTCAAGTCTTGGCAAACTCAGGGCTGTAACTTCCTTGATTAAATTAACTGACCTGTAATGGGATCTTCTTTTCCTACTGCCTTCCACTTTACTGCACATTACCATTTATTCAAATGAGTCACATCATGTTAAGATATGTCTAACAGCCTCATTTTAGGCATCTTAGTTTCTAGTGAGAGTTCAGGCTTGATTCGCTCTAGGACCAATTCATTTGTCTTTTCGGCAGTCCATGGTATAACAACTCTCCTCCAGCATCACATTTCCTAGAAGGTGTTGAGCCTAAATATGTATATTGTAGAAATCAAATCTCAGAATTTCTTAGCAGTTTTATCAGTCCAGTAACATAAATTCTAATAAATTGCCATATTATATGGAGTGATGCTAGACACTTTCCATGGAGGAGTGAAGTAGGTTATCTTAGGGCGTTTTCACACGGGGCTTTAGGCGGACGCTAGCCTACCTCTGTCCAGCCCCACTCCGGCTCCATTGACAATTTTTTCACACGACGTAGCAGCAAGCCCCGCCTCATCCAGCGCCATCCCCGGCGCTAGCCGGCGTCAGTCCGGGTCTTGCTGCGCGTGTTCACATGACGTCGCAGCAAGCCCCGCCCCTTTTAGCTCTAACTCCGGCATCAGCGCCAGAGTTGTAATTCCTTTTTAAAAAAGGAATTAGGTTGCTGCCGCCGGAGCCATTCCGGAATGAGTGGAAGGATCCGTTCCGGAATGGTTCCAGGCGGCTTTGGACGTTTTCGTGTGAAAACGTCCACAGAGGAGAGGAGCCACTGAGAAGCTGCTCTCCAGTGTCCTCACTAGATGGACCTCTGACAGTGGTGAAACTGAGAGAAAGCTTAGGCTATTTATCATTCCCAGTC